GGGGCGGGGCCTGCCGTGCCTGGGCCCCGCCCTGCCCGCCTTGTCTCCGCAGCGCTCGGACGCCGGGGTCCCCCCGAACTCCTGGGTGACCCCCAAATTCCCGGGTCCCTCCAAACTCCTGGGTCTTCCCCAAAGCTCCTGGGTCTTCCCCAAAGCTCCTGGGTCGCCCCCCAAACTCCTGGGGTCCCCCCAAACTCTTGGGTGACCCCCAAATGCCTGGGTCCCCCCAAACTCCTGGGTCCCCCCAAAACTCCTGGTGTCCCCCCAAAATCCTGGGTCTCCCCCAGATTCCTGGGTCCCCCCAAACTCCTGCATCTCCCCCGGACTCTTGGGTGACTCCCCAAATCCCTGTGTCTCCCCAAACTCCTGGTTCTCCCCCAAATTCCTGGGACTCCCCAAAATTCCTGGGTCCCCCCCTGAGCTCCTGGGTCCCCCCAAATTCCTGGGTCCCTCTGAACTCCTGGGTCCTCCTCAACTCCTGGGTGTCCCCCCCAAACTCCTGGGTGTCCCCCCCCGAGCTCCTGGCTGTCCCTGCCCGAGCTCCTGGGTCTCCCCCAAATTTCTGGGACCCCCCCAAACTCCTGGGTCCCCCCCGAACTCCTGGGTCCCCCCCAAATTCCTGGGACCCCCCCTGGACATCGGGGTCCCTGGAAAGAAGCTGCCACGGGCACAGGGATGACGGGGGCCACTTTATTGCCAGGGGGGTGTCTGGGCCACGGGGCCTCCAGGGGACGTTGGGGACATCGGGGACATGGAGGCTGTCGGGCCACCATGTGTCTCAGTCCCTCGAGTGGGGACACGGGGGATGTTGGGGTCATTGGGGACAATGGGGGCCAGTCCCTCGTGGTGGGCACGTTGGGGACGTCAGGCCGTGGTGGGTCTCAGTCCTTTGAGTCAAGGCAGTGATGATGTCCCACATCCTTCATGGACATCGGAGATGTTGGGGACACTGGGGACATCAGGCCGTGGTGGGTCTCTGTCCCTCGAGTCAAAGTGATGATGATGTCCCACGTCCTTCGGGGACATTGGAGATGTTGGGGATGTCAGGTTGTGGTGGGTCTCCATCCCTTGAGCTGGGGCGATGACGATGTCCCACATCCTTTGGGGACATCAGAGACACTGGGGACATCAGGCCGTGGTGGGTCTCCATCCCTTGAGCCAGGGGGATGACAATGTCCCACCTCCTTCAGGGACATTGGAGACATCGGGGATGTTGTGGACATCGGGCCGTGGTGGGTCTCCATCCCTTGGTCCAGGGCGATGAAGATGTCCCACATCCTTTGGGGACATCAGAGACGTTGGGGACGTTGGGCCATGACAGGTCTCAGTCCTTTGGGCTGGGGACATTGGGGACATCAGACCACGATGTGTCTCAGTCTGTTGATCCAGGGTGATGACAAGGTCCCACGTCCCTTGGGGACGTTGGGGACCTGAAGCCACAATGTGTCTCAGTCCCTCCAGCCGAGGCGATGACGAGGTGCCCGTGTCCCTCGGGGACGTCGGGCTGCGACATGTCTCAGTCCTTTCAGGTGGTGTCCACATCCTTTGAGGACACTTTGGGGACATCGAGCCGTGCTGGGTCTCGGTCCCTTGGGTCACAGCGGTGATGAGGTGCCCGTGTCCCTCAGGGACATTGGGGACATCGAGTTGTGACGAGTCTCAGTCCCTCGGGCTCGGTGACATCGCGCTGCGACGTATCTTGATGTCTTGGGTGGGGGATGTTGAGGACACTGGGGACGTTGGGGACATCGAGGATGTTGGGGACACTGGGAATGCCAGGGGCACTGGGGATGTTGGGGACACTGGGGACACTGAGCCACGATGTGTCTCAGTCCCTCAAGTTGGGGACATTGGGGACACCAGGGACATCAGGCCATGATGTCTCACAGGCCTTGGGGGACTTCGGGACATTGAGGACATCAAGCCATGACGTATCCCAGCCCAATGGCTTGGGGCAAAAGGTGCCCATGTCCCCCAGGTGGGGGACACTGGGGACATTGAGCCATGGCGTGTCTCTGTCCCTCAGGTTGGGGACGTTGGGGACATCGGGGCATGGCAAGTCTCCATCCTTTGGATTGGGGACATCAGGTCATGGGATGTCTCCATCCCTTGGGTTGGGGACATCGGGGACATCGAGCCACATTGTGCCTCAGCCCCGCGAGTTGGGAACGTTGGGGACATCGGGCCATTGAGCCACGATATCTCCATCACTTGGGTCAGGGACGTTGGGGACATCAAGCCACATCGTGCCTCGGTCCCTTGTGTTGGGGACATTGGGGATGACACCCATGGGGGGGGCACACACTTTTGGGGGGACTCTGCCAAAAACGCAGACCCCGGGGAGGTGGGGGGGAGGGGGACGGACGACAAGGACGGGGTGGGTGACAGGGACAAGGTGGGTGACAAGGGACAGGGACACTCAGGGTTGGGGGGCCACAGGCTCCTACAGGTGGGTCCAAGCCACCCACTGACACAAAATTTGGGGACGGGTCCCGGAGTGGGGGTGGGGACGGGGACACGGGGGATGGGACCCAGGCGTCCGGGCT